ACACAGAGTTCCTGAGAGCTGCTGCTCCCCATCCCAAAGGGGACGGGGTCCCTGGGGTCTGTCTCAGCACTGTGGGGATGGGGACACGCTGGGGGTGCCAGCTGGGCTGTGAGCCATGCGTGCTGCCCTGCTCCCCGCGCTCGATGCTCCGCGAGCGGTTCGCCCTGCTATTTATACCCCAGCAGCCTTTCGGGATAAATGAGGCTATTTTAAAGGTCTTGGCCAGGTAAAACTGGTTTAAACAAGGCTGGTAATGACTCAGAAGGCTATAAATGTCCGTCAGGCAGGCGCTCGGCCTGTGAGGGGTTTGATCTGCTCAGTGCACAGGAGCAGCATCACGTATCACTCGAGCATCCTGCATCTCCCGAGCATCCCTCATCTCCTAAGCATCCCTCATCAGCTGAGCATCCCTCATCACCTGAGCATAGAATCATAGAAGAATTAAGGTTGAAAAAGACCCCTAAGATCACCAAGCCTAACCCCAGCCCACCCCCACCATGCCCACTGACCTCATCCCTCAGTGCCACATCCCCACAGTTCTTGAACACCTCCAGGGATGGTGACCCCACCAGCTGGGCAGCTGTGCCATCCTACATTGCCCAGGCATCTCACATCCCACAGCCCATGGGGTGCAGCATGATGGAGGTGACCTGCAGCAACACGGTGAAGGCTGTTTTGCACCCATTTAGTGCTGAAAGCTGCTGCTTCCTGCTGCCGTGCCTTCTGCTGCTGGATGCTCTCCAGCAGAAAGGGGTTTTGTTGGAAAATAACAGGGAGGTTTTAAAGCAGGGCTGTTTGGGAGGAGTATCCACATTCAATTTTTCTGTTTGTTTTCTCATTGTAAAACCAAAGGCATTTCAGTTTTCAGAAACCGATCATTAAACATAAAAAAAAAATATTTCCTCTAACAGCAGCCGCAGCCTGAACACTTTGGGAGGCCAGGTGATTTTGTTGTGGAGTCCTTCCAGAAGGCATCATCCTGTCCATGGGTTGTGCATGGGTTCCTTGTCCCCTGGTGTCCTCAAGCATCCTGAAGTGCCACCAAGCTGTCCCCCACTCACCATCCTGGGTGACGTCGTTTCCCCAGGTGCATCCTTTGAGCACTTCTAGTGCTTTGTGGCACCTTGTGGTACAGCAGCTCAGAGCCTTGAATAATTAGAGAGTGGGGAGGAATGCAAAAATAACACCTGAACATGGCAAAAATAGAGATGGCGGCCAGGTCAGGGCGGCAGCCATGGGGTTGTGTGTGGATGAGGCATGGCACAGCTGCACTAGTTCTGTTCTGTGTTGAAGAATAAGTGCAGGAGGCAGAACATGTGGAGCATCCCTCAAAGGTTTCACTTACAAAAGTTTCCGTGGATGACAAAGGAGTTCTTCCCTCTGCTTTTAGGGCTGTGTTGGGACCAAGCTGATGGGCATCTGGATCTTTTTGTTAAGGACTGTAAGGACCAGACTGCCAAGATCAGGCTGGATGGGGCTCTGAGCACTGATGGAGATGTGGGTGTCCCTTTCAGTGCAGGGACCACAGGGCTTTTAAGGGTTCCTTCCAACTCAGATAATGTCTTGATCTATGACCTCTGTAAGAATGGGAGGCATCTCCTGGTATTTCCCAGCTAGGTGACAACCACTTTCCAGCTGCCAGAGGGGTTCCACCATTCAAACCACAGCGTAACCTTGGGCTGCGAGTTAGATTAAAATAACTAAATTTTGGCACGCTCCCGATTTGTCTTTTGTTAGACTTCTTAAAGCCTTGGAAAACATTTTCTTTTTTTTTTTTTAATGAATTAAGAAGCCCCATTAAACGTTGAATCTAATTAGGAAAGACTAGGTGGGAGAATTCGTCAAATAGTTAAGTCAATACAGCAGAGTGTAATTGCTGTCGTTGCCTGCGGGGCTGAAGTTGATGGCCAGCATCGTTGGGTGGGTAACTCATGGAGACGGGAGGATCCCTTCTATATGGGATGCCATTGATTTCAATGCTCCTATCTGAGTCCTTGAGTGAGCAAAGAATATCGGCTCCTGCAATGCCCCACGGAAATGATAGGACAAAGGGGAAAGGTTTCAAACTAAGAGGGGTGATTTAGACTGGATATAAGGAAGAAGTTTGTACCATAAGGGCAGTGAGGCAGTGGCACAGGTTGCACGGAGAGGTGATGGTGTCCCATCCCTGCAGACAGCCAAGGTCAGGCTGGATGGGGCTGTGAGCACTGCTGGAGCTGTGGGTGTCCCTGTGCACTGCAGGGGAATTGGAATGGCTGGCCTTTAAGGATCCCTTCCAACTCAGATGGTTCTGTGACTCTATGAAATGGCAGCGCACCATAGGGACCCACGAGCATCCCCTGCACACATCCTGCCCTACAGCCCTGACCTTGGGAACAGAAATATGGCTCTAACAATGACCCCAGGGTCTGTTCTGCCTGCCTGAGTGAGAGCTGCTCGGGATGCCCTCAGCCCCACAGAGCCCTTTGGTTGCTTCCAGGGATCTTATAGGGGAAATTGCCACCACCCACTGCCGTGATGTGCGCTCCTTCTCCTTCCTGTTATTAAAATGCTTCTGTTCCACAGGGCAGTGAGTGCTCCTGTCTTGCAGTTCCTCAGCTACAGGGAAAAAAAAAAAAAACAAAAAAAAACCAAAAAAAACAACCACCGCATTTAGTTTGAAACAGCAGGGCAATTGGGAGAGTTCATTATATTGGATTAATTATGATAATTATCAGTAGAAGGGAGATAATTACCCTGTTTGTTGTCAAGAATAAGGTACAGTTGTAAGGGATGGGGGGGAGGGGGAGGGATGGGAGGGGCTGATTTTTGATTTTCCTTTGCAGAGAAATGCTTTCACCCAGCAAGAAGAGCAGGGGATGTGCTTGTCACCATCACCAGTCTGTGGTGGAGGTGGCCCAGAACGGTGACAGATGCTGCCCAGGGTGGCCCAACCGCTGTCTCCTGCCTCCAGGAAGGGGAAGCCGGCTTCTACAAGCATGGCTCCCAATGCAAATAGAAATGTAATTTAAAAATTAAATTTAAAATAAATATTACTTAAATATTAAAGAGAAGAAGTCATTTTTTAAATGGCCGGTGCGTTTCTCCGGAGCCCATGCGGGTGTGTTTAAACAAGACGCCGCCGAACATTTTCAATTTTTATCATCTGGGGGTATTTAAAAAAATGTTTCTCTACAAGGCAAGACTATCTACTTCACTGCTTCTTTCCCTGTTCTCTTAAGACGTTAATTTTATTGGGCTGCCCAAGGGTAGTGGCGTAGCAGTTAGACTTGTGAGATGAGGGATGGGAGATGGAGGGCCCCATGGTGCGCCAACGGGGCTCACATTTAGGACCACACGATGCTGGTAAAGAGGGAAGGCTCGGCCTCGCCCAGCACATATGCTCGCTGGTGATGCTCCCAGGTGATGCACGGGAGGGTGATCTCCACCGTCGGGGGGACCCTCGGGGGGCAGGCGGGATGCCCCTCCACCCCCAGCCCTCCGGGATTGGGGACAGCAGGCGACAGGGGGCGCCGCACCACCGCTCTTAGACCTGGGACAGCCCTACCCGGCCTCCTCCGCCCTCTCCCCCCTTTTCTGGGGGCAAATCCCCCTTTTCCCGGCGCGTCCCCGCCCTGAGGGCAGCCCCCCTGGGGTCTTCCCCTTCGCTTCCAGCCAGCCCCCATCTCCCCTAAATATGGGCGGGAGGAGGCGGGCTGCTTCTATCGCCGCGGCTATCGCGATAGGAGCCAGTTTCGTTTGGAGACGGCTCCCGAGGGCGTTGGGGCGAGGGGAAAAGCCCTCCGGCGAAACCCCTCGGTTGTTGGGTTTGTGTTAATGTTTAAAAGCTCCCGCTAACCTCGCCGAGCGGTGCTGGGGTTAATGCCGGGAGAGAACCCAAATAAATAACCGAGGGAAAAGGTCGGTGCCGCGCTGCCCCGCCTGGTGCCCGGGCAGGTAGGTACAGGGCGTACGGCGCGGGGAGGCCGGCAGCTCCGTGTCCCCCCACTGGGCGGGGGGGTGAAATACTGCGGGGCCGGGAGGTGTCGGGCACCCGGAGGGGGCTGCGCTTCCTCTCTGGAAGGAGGGAAGGAGAGAAGGAAGGAGGGAGGGACGGAGACAGCCGCTCCCCGACGGCTACACTCGAGCAGCGGCCGTGGGTCTGTCCGTAGGTGCGGAGCGGCGCTGCCCCGACGGAACCACCGGGCCCCGCTCCGGCTGCGTGTCCCCCGACGGCGCTGAGCCCGGCCCCGCCGCGCTCCCCTTTCCCAGCTCCCGCCTTCCCCTGCCCTTCCTGTTTGTTTTAGTTACGAAATTGTTGTAGGTACCTGAGGCAGAGCCGCGGGAAGGCATGAGGCAGAGCCGGGCCACGGCCGGGAGGAAGGCGGCCTGAGGCCGAGCAGCCGCGGGGAGAAAGGTGCGTGCGGCTCGGGGGGCTGCGGCCGTTGGGTGGGGGACCGGGGGACCGCTCGCTTTGGGAGGGGACACCTCCTGTCGGAGTGCGGTTGGAATGGGGGTCCCGTAGGACCCCTCCCGTTGCTGGGGGCGGGGGGAGACGCGGGGGGGTTCCGGGAGCCGCGCCGGGGTGCGGGTCGGGGGGCCGCGGAGCAGCCGCTCCCGCCTAGGTGTGAGCTGATTATTCAAATGGGCAGCCGAGGACCTGGGGATTGGAGGCTCGCCCGGCCGCTCCGTGCTATATCACTCGGGCACCCACGTCACTGCAGCACTTGTACTCCTCTTCCTCCCTCCTCCTCTTCTTCCTCCCTCCTCCCTCCTCCTCCTCCTCCTCCTCCTCCTCCTCCTCCGGCTCCTCCATCGCCTCCGGGCGACTCTTCGCCGCGAAGCGCTGCGGAAACCCACCCAAGGAGCGGCGGCGAAAAAAAACCCCGGCCCCGGCGGTGCCCCCTCCCTTCCTCCCTCCCTCCTCTTCCTCCTCCTCCAGCGGCTCCGACGGAGGGAGAGCGGCAGAGGGGAGGGAGGGCTGGCGACTTTTTTTTTTTTTTTTTGGATTGCTCTCTCTCTCTCTCTCTCTCTGCGTCGTCGTTTGTTGTGTCTGTTAAATTTTAAACTGCCATGCACTCCACTTCCAGTATGCTGGGAGCGGTGAAAATGGAAGGCCATGAGCACACGGACTGGAGCAACTACTACGGGGAGCCCGAGGTAAGGGGGGAGCCGGGCGGCCCGATCCCAGCGCCGGGATCCTGGGGGGAAACCTCAACTTTGTCACCAAATATTCTCGAGGCGCCGAACCGCGGCCGGGGAGCAGCGGGGGGGGGGGACGGGGGACAGCGGGGCCGGGCCCCCCCGGGAGCGATCGGGGCTGCCGGGCAGCGATTCGCGTTTTTTCCTTTCCCCCTACCCTCCCCCCCCGCACCCCCCACCCAAGGTATTTTTCTCGCTTTGCGCGGGGCTGTCGCTTTTCCTCCAGTTCAGATTCTCCGAGCTCGCTGCAATCCCGACTTTTTCAATATCTAAATTTGGGTTCTTTTTTTTTTTTTTTTTTCGTTAATGAAAGATTCAACACCCCCCCACCTCCCGCCGATGCCCCCCGGGGGTTTAACCCTTCCCACCCTGGTGCTGCGGGGACTCCCTCGGGCTGGGTTGGGGGTGCCCTACTTGGAAACTGCTCTCATTTCCAATCCTCCCAAATCTCCCTTCTCTTTCTCGTTTGTCCCCTCAGAGCTACTCCTCGGTGAGCAACATGAACGCGGGGCTGGGCATGAACAGCATGAACACGTACATGACCATGTCGGCCATGAGCACCACGGCCAACATGACGGCAGCCACCTCCATGAACATGTCCTACGCCAACACGGGCATGAGCCCTTCGCTCGCTGGCATGTCCCCAGGTGCGGGGGCCATGGCCGGCATGGGCTCGGCCGGCGTGGCGGGGATGGGTGCCCACCTGAGCCCCAGCATGAGCCCCATGGGAGGCCAAGCGGGCTCTATGAACGCCCTGGCCCCCTACACCAACATGAATTCCATGAGCCCCATCTACGGGCAATCCAACCTCAACCGTTCGCGGGACCCCAAGACGTACCGGCGGAGCTACACGCACGCCAAGCCCCCCTACTCCTACATCTCGCTCATCACCATGGCCATCCAGCAGTCTCCCAACAAGATGCTGACGCTGAGCGAGATCTACCAGTGGATCATGGACCTCTTCCCCTTCTACCGCCAGAACCAGCAGCGTTGGCAGAACAGCATCCGCCACTCGCTTTCCTTCAACGACTGCTTCCTCAAGGTGCCCCGCTCCCCAGACAAACCGGGCAAAGGCTCCTTCTGGACGCTGCACCCCGACTCGGGCAACATGTTTGAGAACGGCTGCTACCTGCGGCGCCAGAAGCGCTTCAAGTGTGAGAAGCAGCTGGCGACCAAGGACGGCGGCGGGGGCAAGAAGGGGCCGGGGCAGCCCCCCAGCCAACCCCTGGGAGAGGGCAGCTCCTCGGGGGGCTCCGAGGGCTCGGCGGGTGCCGAGTCACCGGCGAGTGCCTCGCCGTGCCGGGACCACAAGCGTGCCCTGGCCGAGCTGAAGGGTGCGGCGGCGGGGCCGAGCCCCGGGGAGCCGTCGGCGGCCTCTCCAGCTCAGCACCTGCTGGCCCCGCCGCACGCCGGGCTGCCCCACGACGCCCACCTCAAGCCCGAGCACCACTACGCCTTCAACCACCCCTTCTCCATCAACAACCTGATGTCGTCCTCCGAGCAGCAGCACCACCACCACCCTCACCACCATCACCACCCCTCGCACAAAATGGACCTCAAGGCCTACGAGCAGGTGATGCACTACTCGGGCTACGCCTCGCCCGTGCCCGCCAGCCTGGCCATGGGGCCCGTAACGAACAAAAACCCATTGGAGTCCTCCCCTTTGGCCGGAGAGACTTCTTACTACCAAGGTGTGTATTCCCGGCCCATCATGAACTCCTCCTAAAGGCAAAGGGGGGAAAAAAAAAAAAACCCTGCCCCACACGGTCCCCTAGCAGCGTGATGGACTGTGAGCGCTGCCGAGCACGGTACCTACCCATATAGCTATCTATCTATTTTTTGTTTTGTTCCCTGCTGGCTCCAGGTGGTTGCATCCACTCGGGGAGCAGCAGGGCGCACCTCGTGTGCCACCCCCTAACCCTGACCCTGCGGTCCCCTCGGTTTGCCTTGCGGGGTGGTTCAGTTTGGTGGGAGGGGGGTGTAGGGGAAAGGGATTTTTCTGTTGGGGCTGGTTTATTATTTTTTTTTTCGTTGTCGTCGTTGCAAGGAGGTCTAAATATATCTATTTTTTTGTGTGGAAGTGATGAGGAAAAGGAAACAAAAACAAAAACAAACAGACAAAAAAGGACGCAAAGAAAATGAAGCCCTCGTTTGGTGGGAAATCCATGCGAGTTTGGGATCTGAGGATGGAAAGTCTTGTAAAATTGTACAAAGGGGGAGGGAAAAAAAAAAAAAAAAGAAAACGGAAAAAAAAAAAAAAAAAGCGGAAAAAAAAAAAAGTCAGGATAGATCGTTGTAATTGAAACAAACGCTTGATGTTACCGGGAGAGTAAACTACTTGGATCTGATTAATTTATCGTTTCTGTATGCTTTATTTATGGCTTATAAATGTGTATTCTGGTAGCGACTAGCCAGGTTGCCACAGAACTCTATTAAAGTGTTATTGGCGGTTTTTTTCCCCCTGCATTCTCTGTTCTGCCGGGATTCGCCCTCCTCCTTCCCCGGCCGTGCGGACCCGACGGTGCGGCCGTGCCGCTCCCGGCCCCTTTTTCCCACCCGCTGCCCTCGGAAGGACTGGCCGAAGCGCACCCAGCGCGGGGGGGGCTCGGGGGGAGGCAGCGATGAAAGCCATCCCAAGGATGGGAGCGGGGGTCCCCGTGGAGACGGGACGGTGGGCAGCGGGGATGCGCCGCCGCGCTCGCTCTGCCGTCGGGGGGGCAAAGCGCACGGCTGGGACCGCTAAAAGAGCGGAGTCTGGACGGTATCAACCACGGGGGTCGGGAGGACGGCCTCGCCGGGAGCGGTGCGACCAGAGGAACGCTGCTTCTTTCTGCCCTAAAGCCCTCCCGGCCGCTCGCAGCCCCACGGCCCGGGCAGCGGAACCCGTCCCGAGGCGGTGCTGTCATTTCTTCCCCCCTTTCCGTGCCCGTTTTCACAACCACTTGTTGTTTTTCCCACGCCGTTTACGGCCGTCGTAGATGTTGCTTTCCGAAATAACATTCAAATCCTTCTTAAAATTCCGCTTTGTCCGCGGGTAGAGAAAAGGGGACAGGGAACGGGGGAGGCGGAGAGGGTGAGAAGGAGGGGGTGAAGGGGGGGGGGGAGAAAGGAAAAAAAAAAAAAAGAAAGAAAAAACAATGAAAAAAACCCTCCCAAAAACAAACCGGGGATCCAGGCAGCAATCTGTCTGTCTCTATACGGCAAGGACACACACGTTGTGAAGCGAGGCGTGCAATGTGTTTCATTAGCACATAAAAGGCTCCCGCGGGGACGGAGCACGGGCGCGGGGTGACACCGCTTTGGGGACGCGGCAGCGGCCGATCCGGAGTTGGCATCAACGGTGGCACTCGGGGCCTTCAGCTCCTGGTCAATGATTGTCGCTTTTTTTTTTTTTTCTTCATTGTTTTCCTCAGCCCTCTTTAATTCGCTGCGATTTCGTGGTCGAGTTTCCCTCCCGCCGCCCGCCGAAACGCGAGGGTGGGAGAAAGAAAAAAGGAAAAAGGGAGAAATACAAAGGGCCGCGCTCTCCCTTCCATCTCTCCCTTTGCACCCCATCGCTTTTTTTCTCTCCC